CAGAGTTTAAGCCTCAGCACACACACACACACACACACACACACACACACACACACACACACACAACCAGAAAATAATGAGATTTACCTCTTATAATCCCAACACTCATTATCAATATTTGGTGTCTATAATAGTTATTAAAATTTGGTTAATACTTACAGATTCTCGAAGGTATCCTTGACCAGCAACATCATATAAACTGAGTCCTATTCTTGTTTGATGAAGCCAGACTGACAAATAAGAACATGAAATACAACTATTAAGATTTATTATTTCAGCATATGTGTGAAAAGAAGGTAAAAAGCTCCGGATTAGAGCCAATCCAACAACCCTTCTCATATACATTAAGTAATTATTAACTTCTTGGTTTGTCTAAAGAAAACAATAGCATATGATGGCAGATTTCAACAATTCTACCATGATTGCATCTATAGTAAAAGTGATGTGCTAGAGGATACTGTTCTTTTTTTTTTTCTCTCTTTCTCTTTTTTGGAGCAGGTCCTGTGGCTGAGCTTCTTTTTGCTAATGGCTAGTCTCTACCACTTGAGCCACAGCTTTACTGGGTATTGTGGCAGTTTAATGGAGGTAAGAGTCTTACAGACTTTCCTACCTGGACTGGCTTCAAACTGTGATCATCAGATCTCAGCCTCCTGATTAGCTAGCAATACAGGTATGAGCCATGGGCACTGAGCTTTTTTTGCATTAAAAATATATAATTTTGTTATTATTAAGCTGTTGTACAGAGGGTTTGAGATTTTATAAGGTAGGACAGTGTTACCTCTTCCTTAGCTTTCTGTTTCTCCCTCTTGCCCTTGCCCACAATTTGCACAGTTCATTTTCCACATAGTGTATACTAAATATAATCACTGCACTTGTTCACTTTTCCTCCCTCTACTTCCGTGCTCACTAGTTGCTCCCATTAAAAAGATAAAAAAGGGATGGGAATGTGCTTAGTGAGAGAGTGCTTGCCTAGCATGCATGAAGCCCTGAGTTCAATTCCTCAGTACCACATAAACTGAAAAAGCTAGAAGTGGTACTGTGGGTCAAGTAGTAGAGTGCCAGCCTTGAGCAAAAGAAGCTCAAGGACAGTGCTTAGGCCCTGAGTTCAAGCCCCAGGACTGGCAAAACAAAAGCAAAACAAAACAAAAACCCAAACTAAACCAAACCCATGTTCCCATTTCCTGGAATTTGTTTCCATAAATAGCATTTAAAATGTTAAGAAGACTGACAACTTCGGGTTTTCCCCCTAAGAGTAGAGGATACTGTTCTTAACCAGTTGAACTTGGTGTTTTACTAAATGGGGACAGCTGTCATGCTACATCTTCAGTGAAACTTCTTTTATCTTCCACTGAGGTAATTATAACAAAGTGTATTAATTGGAGATGGCATACACTAATATTCTACAGATCATTATTGTACTTACAGGTTTCTTAACTCCAAGTTGTTTAACTGATGCCACATTTATGGAGCAATAGTGTGAGACTATTTTTTCAGGCAAATCAACTTGTAATATTGGTGACATAAGAGTAAATAAACCTCCATGAAAGAATCTTTCTAGTAAATATTCTATGCTATGTATATTTGGTAACAGAGTTCTATCACATGAAATACTATAAAAGCACAGATAAAAAAATCTTAATTCCCAGATAGGAGTTGAAGCACAATTAAAGACAAATTACCTTTTCGCATGACATAGTTAAAGAACTGCATGATGGAAATTCTTCCATATGAATCAGTATGAAGGAGTTTAGCAAAGACTTTTGCAGTAAAAAATTGCCTAAGAAAAAGAAATAAAGATTGAAAATGATGTGCCAACATATTATAAAATGACCTCCATGAAAATTAGAAAACAGCATAAATTCACAAAATTAAAGGCAGAAAAAAGTCAAAGTGACAAGTCCCCAAAAGTTGAAATATGAAGTTATACATATTTGCATACTTTTCTTCTCATTTTTCTGTATGAAGAATGAAGAGCTTTAAGTGTGACTTTTTCTTTTCTTTTCTTTTGAGACAGGGTCATACTATGTAGCTTAGGTCCTTCAGCCTCAGCCTCCAGAGTGCTATGAGTACAGCCAGACTTTATATATTTTATATATATATATAATTTTTTTTATTGGTGGTGGTCCTGGGGCTTGAACTGAAAGGTCTGGGAACTGTCCTTGAGCTTTTTTATTCAAGGTGCTCTACCACTTGAGGCATAGCTCCATTTTAGGCTTTTCTGTAAACTAATTGGAGCTATAAGTTTATTTTCCTGTCTTGGCGGGCTTTCAACCACAATTCTCAGATCTTAACTTCTTGAGTAGGTAGGATTACAGGCATGAGCCCCTAGCATCTGGCTTATATATGAATATTTAAATAATTTCATGCCAACATTTTTTTTTTTGTCGATCATGGGGCTTGAACTCTGGGCCTTAACGCTGCCCCTCAGCTCTTCAGCTCAAGGCTAGTGGTCTGCCATTTGAGCCATGCACCACTTCTGGTTTTCTGAGTGGTTTTTTGGAGATAAGAGTCTCAGGACTTTCCTGCCTGAGCTGGCTTTGAACCGTGATCCTCAGATCTCAGCTTCCTGAGTAGCTAGGATTACAGGTGTGAGCCATTGGAGTCTGGCTTCAATGTTCTTAAGTGTAAGCAATTTTATTAAATTTTAGCAACCCAAACTGATACTTGTCAAAATATTTACTTCAGTTTTTTTAATCAACATTTGAGGCATTTAAATTGCTTAATATACTTCTTTTTATAATATTCTTACTTGCACTTTGGTCCAGCCTTTTCACCAACCTTCAAAAAATTTTCATAATTGATCATTGCTTCCTCTCCAATCATAGGTGGTGTCTGATGTTTATCCAGCAAAAACCATAAGTTCTTTAGAGAATTACAGAAAAGAACATATTACAAAGTTAAAATAATTAAATGTAGTTCAATGTATTATTATTATTATTATTTTTTGGTTGGTCGTAGGGCTTGAACTCTGGGTCTGAGCGCTGTCCCTAAGCTCTTCAACTCAAGGCAAGTGCTCTACTGCTTGAGCCATAGAGCCACTTCCGGTTTTCCGTTTTTGAGTGGTTTATTGGAGATAAGAATCTTATGGACTTTCCTGCCCAGGCTGGCTTTGAACCACTATCCTCAGATCTCAACCTCCTAAGTAGTTAGGATTACAGGCGTGAGCCACCTGTGCCAGGCTCAAAGTATTGTTTACATTAAAAGGATTGTCTGATAGTATTAACATCAGTCTTACGCCTTATTATCCTTTTGATTACTAGCAACAAAAATAACACTTATTGGGGGCTGGGAAGGTGGCTCAGTGGTAGAGCACTTGCCTTGCATGCCAGAGGCCCTGGGTTCGATTCCTCAGCACCACATAAGCAAAAAGAAAAAAGCCGGAAGTGGC